GAGTGTGAGTGCGCGCGCTTGCGGTACTGTACTCGGGGCCCAGTGCGCCGCAGTGCCGGGCCGCTTGGCTGGTTCTAGCTGGGGCCGGTGCTTGCTGGAGCGCAGCAAAGAGAGGTCCTCTCGCAGCCGCCAAATGGCATGCCCCATTCGGCTGCCTCTCGTCCAGCTGTATAGCGTACAGTTGTTCGCTCTCCCCGCAATCTGGGGGGTTTCAGATTAAGTACTTGTATTGCCCCACTGCACGCCGGCTGCCTCCTACCTGGTGGCTCCGCCACGCGTCTCTAAAAGGGGCTAGGGAGAGGTTAGGCGGGCTGCCATCGTGCGGGGGCCGCACCCGCGCCGATTTGTTTGCTTCGCCTGCGGCCCTGGTGTGCGGGGGGCGGCCCATCTGGGGCCGCGCCGGCCTCACAACACGTACAATAATAATAATATTGATACTTGTGCGCTCCTCCCTTTGTAAATTCATTGCTCACCGGGATCATGTTGAGCGGCTTGGGCGGGACCTTGCATTGGAGGACACTGCTGAGGAGGCGGGGTGGGTTGATTTTGTCAGCAGTTTGGGCCACCCCGCCCCACACATGTCAGCAGGGACCCAGGCAGTCGTTAGGATGGTGTGAAGCTTGGATCGCCCCAGCTCGCGCCGCGGGGGAGCGGTGGGCGGTTCGAGGCTGTTTGCTGCTGGGAGCATCGGTGGGGGGATACTGGCACACTCGCCACAGCAGTGGGCCCGGCGATCCGCCTGTGGTTCAGCATGGTGCTCGGCAGTCTGCTGCCTGGCACATTGCATTCAACACATCGTCACGCTTCACTCGCGCCTTTCAGCGTATTCTATAGCCCGGCCTTGGAGACCACCCCAGCAATCACCTGGCCCCGGGCGCTCAGGGGTGCCGTACAGCACAGCCAATCCTGAAAAATGCAGTTGATGAGGGGACAGAGCTTGTTTAGGGGCCAGGTGCGTAGGCCGGGGCTGCGTGCTGCCGTGGATGCCAGCCAGGGATTTCGCTCGCTGACCGCCACCCGCCCTCGCAGGCTGCTCGGCCATCCCTGCGGTCACCAGCACCGTTCACAAGCCGCAGCTGCACCACAGTGAGCGAGCATGCAAGGCAATGGGGATCACGACCATGCGCAGCAGCTTGTGCACGCGCCCAGGGCGCCGCCTGCCGCTGTTTGTTCGTGGGAAGCCGCCCGGCGCCTTTGCAGCTCACCACATACAAATCTCTCCGTTGCAGAGGCGTGCCATGCGGGTGCGAGCGAGCGCGGACCCCAGCACCGAGCCAGAGGCCAAGAAGGGCGAGGCGATCGAGGTGGGGCGGGCGTGCTGCGCACGCTGAGGTCTGCGCGGTGTTGGCTCAGCCGCCTAGCTGGCACCCTGGCAGACGGGCTGCGGGGCCTGGCGACAAGGCGTTCCCATTGGCGGCGTGCTTACGAACAGGAAGGGGGAAGGGAAACAATTGTATGAGTAGGAGGACAGCAGGCGCTGCGTACGCTGTGCACGCGGCAACCCATGATGCATGCACGCGCGCATGCACCCCCCCTGCAACCCAGGTGTGGTTGCACACGTGCACGCACAAACACACACTCACACGCACGCGCACACACATGTCCGTGCATGTGCATGTGCACGCACACAGTAACGCATGCCAACACATACACATACAGACGATACACACACGCAGCACACACACACACACACACGCACACACGCGCGCACCACAGAACCCCGACAGCGAGATTGCGCGCAAGAAGGCCGAGGCGGAGCGCCTGAGGGCCGCTGAGAAGTTCATGGTCATCGGCAGCGGCACCGCACAGTGCAAGGGCTGCGGGTGCGTCACCATGGGGACGTGGGGGAGCTCGGCCATGGAAGTGTCATTCGTGACCGAGTCGCTGCATGGGGTTGACGCTTCACATGATAGGGGTCGATTGTGGAGGGGCGATCAGCGGCTCGGGCTGGGACGGGGCGGCCGAGCCTGCGGCAGCAGCAGATGGGCGCGACTGCTCTTGCGTGTGCCGGCTGGGCGGCTGCTACAGCAGCGGGCGGCGCGAGCCCGGGTGGCGGGCCGGGGGCGGGGCGAGGCGGCTTGGCGAGGGCCCGGCCGGGCGCGGGGGATGCGCAGCCCCTGGCCCCCCCTCGCCCTCGCCCTATCACGCACTCAGCGGGCCCGCAATCCTCTGGTTAGCTGAATCCCCAACCTTGAAATGCCTGATGGCCCACTCCCTACTGTCTAGTACTCACCCCCTCCCCCCCTCCACACACACACCAATACTCGCCTACTCGCCCACAGCTACGAGTACAAGCCAGAGAATGGCGACCCCGACTTCCCTGTGCCCAAGGGCATCCTTTTCCAGGTGGGGATCCCGCCCCGACAGCCCCCTCGAACGCGCCACGTGGCAGCCAGCCGGGCGGCACTCCGGGCGGGGCCTGCGAGGGTATGCAGGCGGGACGGCCCCCGATCGGCCCCGTGAGCCCGTGCCTTGGGGCCTGCTGCTGGAAGCGCCAGGCTGAGCTATGCGATTCCCCCTGTAAAGCTTTGGACCGGCCTTGCGAGTCGGCCCCAAACTTGTTCTCCTGTGAACACTCGATCCCGCCCCCAAGCCGACACAAAACGTGCGCCACAAACGCCCTTATCGCATCCAAAAAACCCGCCACGGAAACCCCCCAGGACCTGCCGGAGGACTATGTGTGCCCCATCTGCGGTGCCGCAAAGTCAAAGTTCGAGTCGCGGGTCAAGGTGGTCGCGGGCTTTGCCGAGAACCAGCAGTACGGCCTGGGCACCAACAGCATGACGGGCAACCAGAAGCTGCTGCTCATCTACGGCAGCCTGCTGATCTTCATCCTGCTGTTCCTGGCCGGTTACGCCCTCGAGTGACCGCCGCGGCCGTGGGGGCGCGCCCATGCGGCTGCGGCTGGCACATGTCAATGCGGCTGGCGGCGCCGGCCGGGGCAAGGCTTCGGGCGGCGGCATCACATTCGAAACCGCCGCCGGCCCCGGGCGCGCCGAATGAGGTGGCGCGGGCGTTGAATGTGTGAGCGCGCCGCGCCGGCGGACGGCACGGGGCCCCGCGGCGCGCACATGCTGTCTGCGTGCGCCGCTTGGTGGGCGTTTGGACATGGAGCAGGCATGCCGTTACGACCGCGCTGAATTTCCTGCCTTGGATCTAGTGCCGACCTGCTGGGGTCGAGTTTTGTGTGACTTCCATCCGAGAGAAGATCGTACGCTGCTGTGTCTGCAAACCACTTTGTGCTTTGAATAAGTAACGGACCCGGTGTGGTTGGATGGGGCCACGGCCTTGGGTGCGGCACAGGCCTGCAGTGGCAGCTCGAGATGGCTCGTGCTTCACTAGGTCCGGGGG